GAAGGCGAAGACGCAACGTCGAGGCGAACAACAAGCATGGACCATCGACTCGGATCACCGGCTCTGAGGAAGACGAAGACGTCGAAACGTTAGCCGAAAATAAATATATTTATCAACCTCGTGCAAGCTTATCAAGAGAGAATACATATTGATTAGTCGCACCGAGGTTTAGCGAAGGTGGGTTTCGAAATATTACTACGCTGAGTGGAAATTGTTCCTGTGCTTACGCCAAGCTGTTCTGCAAGCTCTCGAACAGTGGTTCGCATTTTTGCTTGCATTAGTGCCTTCAATTCGTCGTCGTCAAGTTCACTGGAACGTACGCGGCCTTACTCATCTTCGAGGTCGAAATCACCAGATCGGGATTTCCGGAACCATGTTCGCACTGTAGATTCACTAACTAACTTCATTAATGTTTCGAGCCGTCTTCGCTGCATTACTACTGAGTTGGAGCTCATAAATTAAAATCTTACGAATATTCGTTTCTAAAATCTGAAACTGCATAGCTCAAAATTGGCAAAAAAAAGGTTCTACTTTTGAAAATACATAAAATTTGATTAGAAAGAGCATAAAGTCAGCTTTCTAATGATATATATTATTGCAAGGTACAAAGGATATTTTGTTGGTTAAAAATACATTAAAGCAACAAATATTTTAAAACGCTCATTTATTTTTGAACAGCTCAATATATAATATAGTTGGTTATATGGGGTAGATAGTGGATATATAAGATAGTTTTCATTCCCCGACAGTTCTCAGTGCGCCCGGCCACATCAATACCACCATCAGTACCCAAGATTATTGTAGGATTCATTCTCGAATGGAGAATGACTGACTTTATCAAGGCGGCCTAAACGCAGAGTGTATATCGGCAGGGAGAGAAGCTGAAACTATTTCCTACTGTCAGGCGTTCCTCCAGGAAACTGTTCCTGTGTTGGAAGGACAACAGTGAGTGGTAGGATGATTGTTGCTTCGAATACTGCAATAGCGTGGAGTTCACCAGGTCATTATTCTTGGATGGGTGAGCCCACGCAGGCGGATATCAATAACTGAACATGCTATCTGAGTTTTTCTGTCATGTGGCACATATTCATAACCGCATCTTCTTTGGATGCTATCACACCACATCTTCTTCGACGGTGAAGTATGTACCACGACCTAAGTTTCGAAGGTCGTGTCATCGGGTACGAAACCCGACTAGTGAGATGCATTGGAATTGCATATTGAGCCGTCGTCCGTATGTTATAGCCAAGCATAGTCATAATAGATGCTCACTAATATTTCACGTGTGTCCGTTTTGTTTCTTGTTGCTCTTTATGAGCCAGTTTGTTTTATAACTAAGTGCATAAAGGTGACAAGCTTTTCAGTTTGCGCAGGAACTATCGGATAGTCTCGCATACTGATACACAATTCGAAGCTAACAGAGCTTACTGACCGCACTATTTAGTTCATTACCTCTATAGCTCGAATCAAATCACGTTTTAAATCTCTTTTATAGGAACTATTGGTGATGTACCATGCATCCTACTAGCTCGTCATGGTCGCCAGCACACAATAATGCCCTCTGATGTGAACTTCCGAGCAAATCTATGGGGAATGCACTCTTTAGGTGTTAAGTCTAAGTTTTGTGTGGTTGCTGAAATAAACAAAAATGGACGGATAGTTAAATAGATAAATATGTGCACGTATATTCGTATTTATATTTATATATGATCAGGAGCTTCCGTTATAATTGCGTCAATCGCCTGCGGATCACTTCAGGAGAATGTGAAACCAGGCGAGCTCGTATTTCCCGACTCCGTCTTTGACAGGTATACTTCTAAGTCAATACGTTTTCGTAATCATTTCCACTTGGTTTTTCGTTTATAGGACTACTGGGCGGAAGAGTACGTTCTTCGATGGAACGAATCCGGATGCCCCAGGAGTTTGCCATATTCAGATGCATCCTGTTTACAACGAAAAACTTAGGAAGGTAGTCCTTGCGTCACATAGTCATTATTGTGTTCTTCGTTTTAGAAAAACGACCTGGTTCTGTATTTTGTACCGGCTACACAGCTTAGTATGGTATTCAGATTCTGATGATTATTCAGATTCTGATGATGACTGCTATAGACTTAAAACTGAAATTCCACGATGGCGGATTTGGCATCTGCATCGAAGGCCCCAGGTATTCGTCAAGAGCTGAGAGTCGCGTGTTCCGTTCCTGGGGAGCAAGCATCATCAATATGACTATGATGCCCGAGGTATTTATTCTATAGGTTGAAATTTTTGTGTTAACAATAACAATCTCACATATTATGAAGATGTTTGTGGCATTATTAGTGTTGCCTCGCCAAGGAACTTGGCATTCCCTATGCTACTACGGCGCTGGTCACGGATTACGATTGCTGGAAAGATGATGAGCAGGTTATATCTATCCCTATCGAAAAACGTACTAATTGTTAACTAATTGCTTCCATTAACTTTAGTGTTGTATCAAAGCAGTGTGTTGCCAGTTCAGGTATCTATGGAATTAGTGATGAGAACATTCAAGGAAAATTCTTCTAAAGCAAAAAACCTGTTCATAGAAGCAGTAAAACGGATCGCGAAAGAGGACTGGAAAACAGAAATTCTCACTGCGAAGGTATACCATGTATTCCAAATTTTTTCATTTTAATAATCAGATGTTTCTCGGACCGTGGAATGCCCGATAAAGAAGACCGCGAATGCAGGATATATATAAATATATATGTAGTATGATGCCTGTGAACGAAGATCCGACCGAACACTACGAGCCCCTTTTCGAAGGACTTAAAACTTATGCCAAATTCACCTCAGTTCCTCAAGCGAGAACATCAGACCACATTTCCACTTCCGTTAAGGAATTGCTCGCTCGAGAAAAGAAGGAAACTGAGCCTTGATTCTACTGCAACACACTTAACGCGGCTAGTAATAGATGTTAGGTGCAAAAGAGTGCAGGAAGATGGACGTCGGTACAGACAAAATAAACTGTTAGAAGCAGCACAAAAAAAACCAGCCTGGAGAAATGCCGTCGGGATTTCTGAGTGTTTTGCTATTAGCCTTGATGAACGATGGTGGAATCACTATAGCTTTCCGCCATTGCATGAAAATAATAGCATTAAAGTTATATTCCGCCAGCTAGTTCGTAACCGCCTATATGACCGTCTATGTGCAACGCAAAATTGCATAATACCCCCCAATGGTAAAGGCGGTGATTGCATGAGCTCGGATATAGTTTATCTGATCTCCTGTAAGGCGTGCGGAGACGAAAACTTTGACGAAACGGGCAGACCCGTCTGTGTCCCCAAAAAAGAACACCTAGCCGGCAAACATAAACCAAATACCCCACTAGGCACGCATAGGACCCAGAGACATAGCGGAGTGGACTTTGAAGTACGTGTTACGATCCTCGCACAGGAATCGAGAACACAAGCGTGCAAAACTCTCGAGGCGTTATGGATTATTTCCAGAAATCCGAAAATGAACCGCAATGAAGAATGCCTCAATATCACTCGTGATATTGGACAGTATATAAACCTGTTATTCTGATGGCAGAGCACATTACGCTTCCTTGTGAATTCTGTGCGGTTGGTCTTCACACGACATACTCCGTGGAAGACCAATAGAAAGCGGTGAGTAGCAGAGCTGTGTCGTTTTCTTGTTCAGAAATCGCGAGGTTTTTAAACAGCATACATTTACTTCCATAAAAAAAACACGTTACAATACAACGCTAGCTGACGTTTCCGCAGTATCGCCTTCTTCAGAGCCGCTTTTTAACGTGACTTCCAATGAGGAAGTTTAGAACAGCTAATTATAGTCGCATGTGGTTATCGACTGCACCATCCCACAAAAAGCGGCTCTGAAGAAGGCGATACTGCCGAAACGTCAGTTAGCGTTGTATTGTATTGTGTTTTTTTTATGGAAGTGAATGTATGCTGTTTAAAAACCTCACGATTGCTGAACAAGAAAACGACATTCATATTCCAATGCCGAGGTCAGCGTTTTCTTTGCTTTGTTATGGAGGTGTTTGTCCGAATAGATTACTGTCAACTTGACCTTTCCAGGCTCTGAGGAAGGCGAAATCCGCCGAAACGTCAGCTTGTACGTAAATAAAGAAATAAAGTAACACCTCGTGCTTGCTGTACAGAAGTAGAAAGAATTAAAGTTATATGTCAACCTCTCTCGTTTCACAATCCGCACTGGGACCTGAAATCTCCGCTGGATCTGAACCATTTGTAGTTCTTTCCTCTCAGGTTCGAGTTGCGATAGAAACCATGGAAGTAGGCAGAGCTCTAAGATCCGATAATATTATCACGAACTTGTTTCGAGCTGGAGGCCAGAAATTACTTGTACCTCCTGCAACCCATATGAATTACTACCTTCAGAAGAAGAAAACCCCAGAGGATAGTAAGACTTCGAGCACGGTCATCCTTCCAAGGGGTGTCCGAGGAGTCGCAAATATCGTCCGTTTTACTTGTTGAGTGTACTTTACAACGACGATTATCCTTTGGCGCATATCAAGAGGCCTGGATTAGGTTATGCCAGTTGAGCAAGCAGGATTTCGACAGGGATTTTGCCACGTGAATCACATCCAAACCGTGTCCAGAGTCACAGAAAATTTTTCGGGAATCAAAGAATCAAAGAACCACCTGAACCTTAGCCCTGACTTTTGTCGGCTATAAACAAATGTTTGACAGTGCCGAAGCGAATGCAATGCTGTAAGAGCTCGTCGACCGAACTGAAGCCGTCCTACATAAGAACTCTATCTAATTGTTATCGGGATTGCACTACGAAGACACAGCTTTTCCATAAACCTTTCACCATACCCACGGAAAAAAGGGTTTGAAAAGATGACCCATTATCGCCAAAGTTCTTTGTTGCCGCATATCAGTAGATAATGAAGTCACTTGAATAGAACGACCAAGGCATACGTATTGATTGAAAATTCCTAAAAAAAAAAAAGAAAGAAAGCAAAGCAGCATAGTTCGCATTCTGGCCTCTCAAAGAATCCACCGACTTCAACAATGTCCAGATTATTGCGCGCCACTTACAGAGTGATCGTCTCATCTGAACGATCTCTTCTCAAATTTAAGCGGTACGCATATCCAGCGATAATGCGATGTTTCGGTTTTCGAAGCCCATAGGTGGATGAAAAGAACTATAGAGTGGAATTCACGAGGATGAAGGCGTCCGCTAGGACAGCTATGTTGGCCGATTGTGTTTATAAGTAAAGTGAATCTGCCATGCTCGCAGCTGCAGTTGTTTTACTGATCATGGCATGAAATTCGCATCCGCCACCATGCACGACGATCGCGAGGCAATGAAATGAATGGAAAATTTACTGAGGTCCGCACAATTTGTGAATACGGGCCGTCGGTCCATACATATAATTCACATAATTGGACAATACGGGTTCATACATATAATTCATATCCACGCTGGTATACAGTTGTTTTAAAGCACTTTCTTTCGAGATTGCAAGTACTGGTGCTTGACCGGAATTTAGGTTACACCTCCGAAGTCCCATGTTATCAAAGTGACCCTTTTTAGAAAGCTGCACGAGAAGCCGTCATGGTTGGACAAGAAGTCACAATTCGACACTTGGTTGTTTGAGCCACCAGAACTTTCAGACCCGGTCACTACGGAAAGATGCTGGCGTTGTTAATATCAATGCTGCTATGCACTTATTACTTGTTTATTCTGTTTACTAGATAATTATAGATGCCATCTTTAACTTATTAATTTATATAAAGTATATTTGGCAGCAAAAATAAGCATCCAACCTAGACATGCTTAACAATGACACTCAAGAACATAAACATTCACTAGGACATGCTATTAAATTAGGATCTTCTAATAAAGCTACTTTATATACAACGAAGCGGAAGAATAGGACAACGGTTCAAGCAGACCCACCCATGTTGTTTAGAAATAGAAGACATAACTATTTCTATTACTACTACATCCATTTAATTTTACATATAGGATGGGTGAGCACATACGACTTGATCAACTCGGCTGGCAAACAGATCGCTTGTGATCTGTGTGGAAGTGTCAACCAGAGCATTCTTTATCACAGTATCCACGTAGGTCTAAACTATATGGAGAGAATCACAATGTTAACTTCTTATTTACTACCTTTTGCAATTTTTTATGACAGGATATTATGTGTGATGCAACCACAATGATGCTGAGATATTTGCAAAACTCCGGACCGCAGGTGTCTGCAGTGTGGAACTAACGCACTCTCGTCCTTTCCGGGGAGTCACGCGTTCACCACCACACCATGCGGGTCCTTCGTTTCGTCTATCTCTCAACTAGTCTTCTATCTAGCAGTGCCATCGGCAATCAACGGTCAATAGGATTGATCTGGTGAACCTCAATTTCTAACGACACGGGCATACACCTGCGGTCCAGATTTTGCAAATATCTCAGCATCATTGTGCTTATATGAAGAGATTATTGTATACATTTGAGCGAACGTAGTAAAAATCCACAATTACCTGATACACAGTTCGAAGAAGCTCCGGAATCCCAACTGCGGACGGATCAGTGTTCATCACCATCTTCAGACCTGTCGGGATTTCCATATAGTTCATCTTATATTTCGATGTCTTGAAATATCGTACTAACTGATTTCTGAACAGAGTTTAGCATAGTCCAAGAGCAGAGATTTCACAGAAAAGTCTACAGTGAAGTCAAAGTGAGGACAGAACAAAACAAAAAACGAACCCGTCCTTGCTAGAAAGTCGTTCAGCAAAAGAACGAAGCGATAAAAGCATTCCAAACATTAGCTTAAATTCCTGAAAAGACGAAATAAATCAGTAGAAAAATAAGTAGATAACTTGTAAGAGCTAAGCTACACCAGAATTTCGACTTTCAATAGAATTTCCTCGTACTGACCTCGCTTTTTTGCATCCCGGATTGCTTTTCCCTCTTCCATTCTTTATAAAATATACAAGCACCATCACGATTGAACAAATATAAATTAAATATTGTCATAAAAGCGTTCCTGAAATGCGAAATAATAGGACCACCACTAGAAGGCCTACAAATGTGTCTAAAGTTCCGCTTCCACAGCATTTCATAAACAAACTAACAAAATATTCTTCCCAGTAGCTTAATATTTAACTAGTAAGCAATAATACTACTACATACTATTACTATATTATATTATATATACTTAACAACATGCTTAATAGCGTAGAACATAAAAATCCCGGTAGTACAGGCGTCGTTTCATCCGCATTTGCGTACGATAACGTGTAAATTCCGCCTCGTCGTGTCTGCTACAGACAGCAAGCTTCCCTTGGGAGTTGAGTTCATCTTGATGAATACGCATCCTGGATTGTCTCCTGACTCACTAATTAAGGAATCCGTTGTATAAGCAGAATGGTGTAATGTATACACAAAGAAAACACTGATTTCTCAGTGCTCAGCTGCGTGACTCTTCATTCATTCTATCTTTTCTTTACAAGCTGTTTTTGTTAGAATGTTAATGGTGTTTCCTCGCTTTTCATTCTTGCACGTCTGATATAATGGTATGCATTTGCGGGTAAAGATTTTCTTTCTGATCAGTTATAACCCCACGGATCTCCCTCACAAAAGGATCTTGTACCGGTTAGTCGCGAGGCTACCTGGCGCCTCCCCAGGTGGCGGATAGGGTGTTAATCGCGGGCCAAAAACGACCTTTATTTCCTTGAGACTCAGGTGGATTCTGGGAATGGACTCCAAGTTTCTGCTGCGCTGATTTAGCACATACTTTCTGTATTTGTTAGGCGTATTCATGCATACGTGTGTGGGTGCGTTCCTACTTATGCAGATTGTATTCTACGAGCCAATTCGACCAAAAGCCTGCAGTCAAGTGATAGGGAAGTATATATAAGGCGATTAGGAGTCGTCTGCAACAAATAAGCTCCATGTACACTTTGGGAGAGACTGGCAAACTACCCGTGAACATACCCAACTCTCACGTTTAGAGCTCAGCAAGCTATACGTGTGTATCGAAAGAGTAAACATAGTGAAATAAACGGGCCTCCTTCCGCTGACCCCGAAAGAGTTCCCGATTCGGTAGTTTTGGTTAGAACGAGTACGGAGAGGCTGGTAAAATCTCAGAGCCATTCTAAACTGCCTAAATCGCACAATGCACGCACCCTTGCATCTGAATAGTCGATAGAAGGCTTAATCATGCGAAGAAGGATAAGGTACGGTGTTATAGGACTGGCCGAGACGAGACGATGCTATCCATTCAACGCCGGGTGTGACACCGGAGAAGAACTGTTCCTCGGAACATGCGACAGTAGAGGAGTCGTTTCATTCGAACAACTTACAACCTGAATCGACGTTTACGATTAAAAAGATGTGGATCAATACCGGCTTTCACAATTTTCGTTGTTTACGCGGCAACATCAAACTGGAGAAGCTCTACGGAGAAGACCGTTCATTCTTCAAGGTAATCATTGGAAATTTCAACGCCAAGAATGGAGCAAGAAGAACATCGCATTGGGACCCACGGATTAGAATGGAATGAACAGGGTGAGCGGCTGTCTGATTTTATCATGGCGAACAAGACCATCTATGGTAACTCGCAATTCCAGAAGCCCCACCCTCAGCGCTGGACATCGGAGTCTCCCAATGGAGAGTACCATAGCGAAATAAGCCATATCATAGTAAATAGAAGGTTTTGCCTAACCGATGTCGCTGTTGTCCCAAAATTTTACATTTGATCAGATCACTGTCTCCTTCGTGCAAGATTCCATTTCTCGCGGAAAAGAGAAAGAGCCGCTAAATCCAAAAAACGAAGTCCTAAAACCGCCATAAACTGGGACATATTTAATTCATTCGTTGGCTGTTGGGAGATTCTTCTTGATAACATCGACAAGCAATCTACAATTAATTAAGCAAATACAATCGGCTCATTCAACATCTTCACGTTAGCGCTATGAAAGCTGACACTTCGAAAACCACCGAGAGACGTCGGTCTCCAGAAACGCGAGCTGATTCGTCAGCGCACGAGCTACAGAAAATTTTCATCGCACTTTCAAACTCTCAAAACAATGCAGACAAGCGATAAAAGAAGATCTCAAAGAGAGAAGAAACACAGTTATGGGTGAAGCGGTAGAGTTTGGGAGAAGCATTGGCAAAACCCACCGAAGCTTCGACACTTATAATACCTAGATAATTGCACTCCAACGCCCATGCGGAACAGTTACAGCTTCCAGAAAGGCAATGGATAAAATCAGTGAAAATTACTACCTGGATCTCTTCAATAGCCACGTTCTCCTTCCCTCATATGAAATAAAGGAGGATGGATATGTCGTACCATCGGTTCTCCCTTCCGAAATCCGACGTACCATTTCGTCGGTAAAAAATCGAACAGCTCCAAGTCCGGACAGGATAAGATATGAACACTTGAAGAACCCTCCGCCAGTCCTCACAAACACACTGGGTCTGCTCTTCACACAACTCTCTGAATGCACGGTACCTATTCAATAGTAGACGAGGTTGACTCTGTTATTGTTCAAGATGGGTAGACTCCACGATATCGGCAAGTACCACCCAATCTGCTTGCCTGTGTGACGTCTACAAACTTTTAACTCGAGTCATCCTAGACAGGACTACTTCTTCGATGGAAACACCGCTAAGGAAGATTAAACAAGTGATGGTATGATAAATAATATGGCAGAAAAATCAAGACTTACTGTGTTAGGAGGCACGGTTCTCCCTGACGAGCCACGCTCGCTATTAGAATGGGGCCCAAGTTTCCCATCTGAATAGCTCTTCGTAGGATTGTATGTAGTTCCCATGAAGCTCAAGATGGACTCCGCAACAAAGCTAAAGCTGGGGCGCTAAATAGAAGCGAACAACAAGAAGCAAGGGCATCACCAGTACCGCCATTTCCTCAGCTGCTCTTCAGACAGCAAGACCCAGCAATACTATCGCGGGAAGAGCTTTCGCTCCAACCTGTAAGAAATGCAAAAATGTGCTATGCGAGAGGTTCGAGCGCTGATTATTTCGAAAAGCATAAAACCATCCGTTAGGGATAAGGGTGGGAAATTTGCAGTAATTCCTCATCAGTTAGATGCTGAGATAGTGGAAAAACACCTTGAAGACGCTTTCTTTTATCCCCAATCATTTGAAAAGGAGTTTAAAAGTCAATATCGAAAAGTGGACAACAAATGGCTAAAGTGGCAAAAGGGGTTGGTTTAAAAACGTAAGTTGTTTTCCAACTGAAAGTTGAGCTAGCAAGATGTTCCGTCTTACTTAATTGTCAAAACTCATAAGTCGGCAGTCAGTGACGATCTTGCGTCTATCGAACCATCGTTATCTAATGTCAGATCAGTCAACAGCTGCATAGACGGGCCAACGGATAGAATAACATGGATTTTAGCTTAAATACTCACCCAGTTACTAAAACACATCCCAGCCCATCTAACAAACACCCAACCAGATGTCCCTGGATCGTCTACGTAACGCGCATCCCAACAGTGCGTACGTGATGGAGTCCTTCGACGTCACCGCCCTCTATGGCTATGTGTTGAACGACTCCGCTATGCAAGCCATCTCGAACTCCTCTTGCAACACGAAAGAGCAGTGCGCATGTATGGCTTCACGGTTCAGCAGTTGATGACACTCTTAAAGGAGTGCCTCAACTGCTGAATCTTCAGACGGTCTGCAAAGGTATATAGTGCTGAGATATTTGCAAAACTCCGGAATGCAGGTGTATGCGGTGGGGAACGAACGCGCGCTATTGTCCTTACCGGGGAGTAGCGCATTTCACCACCACACCATCCGAGTCCTTCGTGTGCCTGTCTCTCAGCTCGTTCTGTTGATCTTTTTGCCATCAGCAATCACCCGTCAGCGGGATTGATCTGGGGAGCCCAAATCGGGGTTAAGATTAAGGTTAAATAAAAGGGTTAAGATTGTGATTATAACTAAGCCTCAGCTTAACTGTGTTCATTGCCAATTTGGGCGCCCCTGATCAATCCCGCTGACGGGTGATTGCTGTGGCAAAGATCGATAGAAATAGCTGAGAGACAGGCGAAACAAAGGACCCGCATGGTGTAGTGGTGAACGCGTTACTCCCCGGAAAGGACAGTAGCGCGTTCGTTCCCCACCATAGACACCTGCTGTCCAGAGTTTTGCAAATATCTCAGCAACGTTGTGGTTGTATTTCGCTTAGTACCCTGCCGCGAAATTATAGTAGGCAGAAAATAAAAAGGTATAACATTACATGAGTTGTATTTCGCAACATCCCCTGCCATTAAAAAGAAAAAGGCAGTAAATAAAAGGGTTAAGGTCTGCGAAGGGTTGGAGGGTTGGCAATGGGACAGTGACTGGCGTGAAGCCTTGTCATTACATTTATTTCTGATGTGGAAGCACCAGCACCAATAACCTATGTGTGGCCATTACTCCACTGCAGATACATAGATGATTGTTTGGTCGCCTGCTCCATACAAGAGAAAATGGACAAATCTTCTGAGTTAGGGAGCGAACAGTCGGAGTAAATGACATTCACTCGAGAGAACCCGAAGGAAAACTGGCTTCCATTTCTAAACGTTCAGATTAATCTTTCCAAATATAGCTAAATTGCCAAGTGGTACCGAAAACCAAGTATGAAAAACCTAATAGTTCATTACCTCTCCTCTCACGTCTCTCACACAGAAACGGCACTTGTAAGAAACATGTTTCAAACAGCCACCAGCTGTGCACACGGAGAGCGCAAAAGAAGAATTGGAAATTGGCGCCGAAAATAGCCATTTTCAATGGCTGTGAAGCCGTAGCTCCTCAGAATTGGTGTGAAGGAAAACCTAAGTACCCAAACGTCAACTCTAACGACAATAAGGTCGCCTTTACCCTCACCTTCATTTCAAACGAAACACGTGCACCTACAAAACGTTCCCTAAGAAGGGCCAGTCTAGAGAATTCGTTAACAGTAACTGAACTGGCACTGAGCACTCTAGTACACCAGCTAGTTCGCAACTGCCTGTATGACTTTCTATGTACAACGCAAAATTGCATAATTTGCCCTAACGGTAGAGACGGCTATTACATCATCTTCTCTTTGCTGATGGCATTATCATAACGTCAAATATTAGCCAGATGGAACTAATGCTTATCAACTTTGATGGGGCGTGTGGAAAAATTGCTCTTCGACTAAGTCTCACAAAAACGATGTTCATGAGGAACGGATTGGTTTCGCATTCCCCATTCACTCTCAACGAAACGAATATATCCGAATGCTCCAGTCATGTCTATCTAGGTCGGGAAATCAGTATGATGGAGGACCCAGCTCCAGAGCTGAGCAAAAGGAAACGAGCAGTTGGGGAACTTCCAAGAGCGTCGAGGATGTAGTGAAGAGAACAAAGAACACCCGACTCCGCGCCCACCTTTTCGGCTCAGTGGTACTTCCTGCCCTTGCTACCCGCCGTGTAGAACGCCAACATTGTAGGCGGATATTTCACTTTATTTGAATAAAGCTATAAGCTTCTGACAAGGCATGTTCATTGTCAACCAAAGCACTTTTTTGGAGTGTATAATAGTACTGTGAAGATACTGTAGAATACCTTCTGCTCATGACGTTGACGTGTGAACTCCGTCTCGTCAGTATCCGTTACAGATAGCAAGCTTCTCGTGGAATGTTATTTTGACTGGTACAGATTCTTGATTGTTTTTTGAGTCATTAGTTAGGGATACGTTGCACAAACAGAATGTTCCACTATATACATAGCCAAGGAGCGCGTCTAGTGCAGCAATTAGAGGCGCCCTGCAACAAACATGGAATCTATCTCCACGCCCCAGATCCATCAAGCCTTCCATCTCTCCGAAGTTGGCAAATTGGTACCTAACCTGTCTGGGAGGAGAGCAGCACTGGCTCGATACAACGGTATGCCACCGCGAATCACTGTAAAGGCCAGATATGCATTCAGTCATCTCCAGCGATCCTCGATGAAGTTGAATGCATGGCGCATCCTTCAGGGATTGATCAACACCGAGAGCTCTATCCTTTTCTATCCTTTATACACAGCAAAAACATTGATTTTCCAATACCCAGCTTTCACCTCTATCCTTAGCTCACAAGTCGTTTTTGTCAGAGTGGCAATGGTGTTTACTTTCTTTTTTTTCTTGCACTTTGGATATAATGATATGGGTTTCTGGGACGAAGATTTTCTTCCTCTTCAACTATCAATAACCATATAGATATTCTGAATACACCCCCAACTTGCATGTTTTACGATTACAGCGTGTCCTTGCCATCTGAGTCTTTGTGATTATGTTAGATTTGCTGAACAAAGCGTGTTTACAAGTATTTTGTCATTGTCAATCTGAAAACGAAAATCACTTTATCATTATTGTTAGGTCAAATCAGAGGCAATACATTGAACCGTGGAATCACTTTCACCCCTGATCGTCAGTACTCCTGTGCTGAACCCAAACAAGATATTTGCACATACATCCAATCAGAGTCCCCATAGTTAGCCATCCTTAGTTCCTCTTTGTGATTGTCGTCCCAAACGTTTTTCGTCTGTGTCGAAAAATATCATCACTTTTTCGATGGATGAAAACAAATAGAGACATGCCATCTTCGATGACATCGCCAAAGAGTCTAGGTTAGCCTAGGCTAAATCCACCAGGAAGAACATTTCCCAAAGTAGTTTAAACTTCACAGTCTGAAGTTAATGTTAGTTCAAATTGCGTTCTGAGCATGTAACATCAAAAATACAGATGTATTCAGAATCGGAAAGGATATGTTCTCACTCCCAATTGATAGACCAACTCACTATGCACACAACATCTTCACATGAGTATAGCGTCTCTCACTATTCTGCCCGTACTCTGTATTTTCTTTTACTACTTATGTCTTTTGAATCTATTTTCCTACCCTTTAAAGTGAGATTGGATGTTTATTTCAGTTTGTCCTTCAAAAAGAAAAAAATCTATTTCATAGAAATATACGCTTTAAGACATATTGCAGTAAACGAGAATAGGATGAAGTAAGTTCCCATGAGCACAACAATAACCACAAAACGATCCACATCTAAAACGTGGTATTCATCACTTAATCAGTTGAGGTGATTAATTAAGGTAAAACAATGGTCAATTTAAAACGCATTTTGCAAAACTGTAAGAGAAGCTTCGGTGACCTAAGAGTGAGAACATCTAGCAGACGTTAGATCAAACACCTTTCATTCTAGAAACAGTCGAAATTACCAGAGACATCTGCTAAAGACTATAGGTATGGGAAGAATATATGAGCAAAATAAGGATATCGTCAAACCGAATGGTTACTGGATTAGTGTAAATAAAACCCCTGGGAATCCTACAGGGGATATCTACTGATCTCCCAAAACAAGACCATGAAAATCGCCTGTAGTTTGTTACGGTGTAACATTGTACACATTGTTACAATTCTATGACATAAGATTGCAAGAAGATTCCTGTCCAACACTAGAAGCTTCTTATACTAAAGATTAAGGAAAGAAAAAACTTACACCACCGGCAGTTGGTGTTCATATTATCCTTGATAGTAATATTCATTTTCGCTATCAAATGCCTTTCTAACTCCTTAGAGATGCACAGATGAGGATTTCCACTGATCTCTAAAACAATTCTACTTTAAGTTACACAGTCTCAAAACCCTCCCAACGGTTTACCACCTCATCGTGGCTGGAAGGTATTCCTGGGTGTCAGGCTGCGATGTACGCGTACATCGGGCTGATCCATCCAACCTCCTCCCCCCCCCCCCCCCCCCCCCCCCCCACTCGGCAGGGTTTCCCAAGCTGAGAAGTAATCCAGCATTTCTATCAGCAGGAAGCCTAGCTACGAGTAAACCAATACCAGGATCCACCACCGTCCTGGTACCTAATTAGTTGCATCCCTTTGATTCACAAAAGTGGCGAATGCCTGTGATGGTGACGAGCTAGGACAGATTTTGATCGGGTTGACCTCGGAACTCCAGGCAACTACAATGGCTAACTCAGCAGAACTCCGAAGAAATGGAAATCATACTGGGGTCTGTGGGGTCCGCACAACCACTGAGGTCAGGACATCCAAGCATCCAAGCAAGTAAATAAGTCTTAAGGAGAATGAGGCCAAATACAGTCATTAGTATGGCCAGTGTACAACTTAATCAGATAATTTCTAATCTCCATCCGTAACAACTTCTGTTACTATAAATAATTTACAACAATTTTGTTCAAACTACTTAAAACTGTTCGAGAGGGTACTCAACTGATTAATTAGACTGCACGCTACTTAATGATGATTATGACTAAGGTATTAGCGCCAATGCGAATGAGGATCATCGTTTTATTTCAGTCCTGTTTACTCAGAAACAGTCATCATTGTAACTTTTCCATTCAAGCAGCCAGGTACGAGGCGATTCTTCGGGTTCAGTAACTAATAAAAGACAAGCGCTGCTGTAATCTTAGTAAAATTCATTTGGTCCTTATAACTGTTACCGACACAAGACATAATACACCATCAACGTGTTTATGTTAACGGAGCGATTGATCAGAAAGAATAGAGATGAGTAGTAGCATTTGAAGGACTCAAAAATGTTGATTTGTAATGACTTCAGGGTTGTCTTAAATTAAAACTGGAAAGTTGAAGAAGTTGAACTCTACCATTTTTGCACTTGTGAGACGGATTGAAATTAAATGAGCGGATAAACTCGATATCAGTGAGGAGTGTGTCCTTGACGACTAAGCAACCATCCACTAAGCTACCACTCGTCGGGATTTCACCGTTCACATCTTTGTTGAAATACTGAAAGTTATAACTCAACACAATACGCATGTAAGAAACACCGCAAGCTTTTCCATAAAATGAAATAAGTACTAACATTAAGCAACATTCACGTATACCTTCAGTAAAAAAAAGCGATAAAGCACTCGGTGTTGATCAATCCCTGAGCGATGCGCCATGCATTTGACTTCATTAAGTTGGAGGTGATTGGATGCATATTTGGCTTATACAATGACTCGCGGTGGCTTACGATGTATCGAGCCAGTGCTGCTATCCTCCCAGATAAGTCTGGTACCAATGTGCCGACCCCGAAGGGATGGAAGGCTTGGTGGGCTAGGCGCGCGGAGATCGATCACATATGTATTGCGGGACGCCTCTGACCACTGCGCTACACGCGCCGTTTTGTATGCGTTCACATATCCAAATAACTATCAGTGAAATAAGAACTACGAAAGTACTGTTGTTTATAAACATTATGATGATCACATAGGCGGAATTCCTACGTTTAGTCTAACAGTACAATTATTTTTATCTGGGTATTTTATGGACAGTATTCGTTATTAATATATTACACATACAATGTCTCCATAATAAGCGTCGCAGTTAAGCAAGGACAAATCCTCCACCTTACCAGATAATGCGCACTCTGCAAGAAAACGAAATATCTCCGTCACATTCCTCATTCTTAGTAAGAATTTCCGTTTCCTTATAAACGGCTATATTGTAGATAATCACCTCAAGAACGGCTATAACAATAGGATCAGATAATTGGATACAGGATGAAAAAGTTCTAAAGCTCTCTACGTTTATCAATCCCTTAGTGATGTGCCTCCACTCGACTTTATGAAGCATCGTTTGGAGGTAATTGAATGCGTATCTAGGCTTTGCAATGACTCACGGTGGTCTGCCGATGTATCGAGCCTTTGCTGCTATCCTTTCAGACAAATCTGGTACCAACTTTCCGACCCCGGAGGAATGAATGGAAGGTTTGGTGAGCCTTGGGCGTAGGGATCGTTCCCATTTGCATTGCAGAGCTCCTCCTATCACTGCGCTAAACGCGCCCCTATTGGATACTGAATAGAGTAATTAAAAATTACCACCATGTTGAGGCACTTGGAAGTTGTAGGCAGAGAAAACCCTAGCGAGTGAAGCGATCGTCTTCCGTGATAATCTGCGGTTCCCACGAATCTCCGCCATGTGAACAGTATGGTCACCATAAAATTCAATTTCATTGTCGAAGATGATCGTTTCCAGATCGTCATTTCCTATTACTTTAAGTGCCAGACCTAAATTTGAGAGGTTAAAACTATCCTGTATATCCGAACCCAATTTAATGTTCTGCAGTTTTCATTACGTTAAACAGCCCAGGCGAACTAGCTGGGATTCGTAGACCTAACTGTGAAAAAATGTTTACTAAGATTAGGAACGGATATGTAGGACCTTGAGACAGACCTTAATTTTTATGAATTTCCTACTGATACAATATAGTGTACCGTTGTCTTCAGCACAACATTGAACCTCGCCGAAGACTCATTGAAAAGACAACAAGAGAACAACGCAAGTCAAAGAAACTGGCGCTTTATAATTACACTTAAATTGCCTTCGCACCTTATAGATCTACAAATTTACTCGGGCCACATTTCGCTCCTCATGTGGACGCTGCGTGGATTGCCCAACAGATGAAATGGACGACTAGGGCTGCTAGTTGTACAACTGTTTACAATGTGTTAAAATCAAGCGCAATCATGTTGTTCACTAGCAAGTTGATACCGAAAACAAATCCAGGAATTACCTGCGTTGCAGCTGTTCCATTCCTTAAGTTTTGGAAAGCGTAAGCTATTGAAATTTGTGTATTCCACAACAATACACATAGTTATCTGGAAGAGAAATAAAATTAAAGCGAGCATAAAGTTTTCTACGGTGATTGAAGCGGTGAGAGTACATCACTGCTCCTCGTTCACTTCACTAGAACAGCTCGGCTTCCTACTTTAAGGAGTAAGTGTTCATGGATAGCCACCACTCACCCTCATAGAGGCAATTGCAATGACGCATTATCTATCGGGAGTCCTACTAATGCTTGTCAATCGAAAAATGAATTCATCATGTACAAGAGGTCAAGATGGCTGTTATCGTAACTGCACCACCAAAATACAGCTTTTCTCTCGACCACTTACCAGGAGAAGGGGTTTTGACAAGGCGTCACCACCTCGACAAAGTTTTTTTACTGCAGTACTTCAGGGGTAAAAGAAGGCATTCAACTACTAGGACTACAACGACATATACATTGTTGGCTCATTCCTATGAAGTCATCATGTTGATGACGACGACATCATCTTTTCAGAAAGTAACAGGAAAGCAGCTACGATTATCAGCGAGCTCGACGAAGCGGAAAAAAGATTGGGCTCGCGCATAAACCTCTCAACGAAGAGACTGATCAACTAACGGACCCTAAACTCCGCGCTTAACTTTTCGACTCAGCGGTGGTCCCAGCGTTCTCCTACGCAGCAGAGACGTAGTGCTGATACTTCAACTATGTCAAGGGTTCTGCGCATTACGGACGGATATACTGGACAATGCCTTCTGAAATTTAACCGGCACTCAGAATGTTTACCAGATATGCGCAGCTTTGATCTTCGAAACTTATCCCATCTTAGAGATGTAAGAGATTTTACACGCTGATAGTGAAACACGGATCGGTCGGTCGTATAATGAGAACAGAACGTGACTGGTGGACGAAAAGAACAGTGGAGTGGACCCCGAATGATGTAGGTTTCTCTGGAGTAACTACCTACACAATGGGCGCTCGTGCTTGTTGCTTAAATGAATCAGATGTATTCGCATCTGCTAACGCTTTGCAAATATGTATCGCACTTCCGCAAGTTACCACACTCGAACCAAACAACCGCCATGGACAATGACCATAAGTTATATCATTATATTGTGCAAATCTCATCACATCTTCGATCCATTTTGTTACTTTGTAACTGTAATCTACGGATTGGGGCACGTGTGACGCAGTGGTCGGGGATGCCATGCAATACACATGGGGTCGCGCCTCAAACTGACCAAGTCTTCCATCCCACCGGGGCAGCCAAATTGGTATCATACTTGCCTTGCAGGATTGCAGCACAGGCTTGATACATCTATAAGCAACTGCGAGTCATTTAAAGGCCAAATCTGCATTCAATCACCTCCAAAAGATGCTTAATGAAGTCAAATGAATAGCACATCCCACAGGGATTGATCGACGCTGAGAGCTTCATTCTTTGTCCTTTAGTTTACGGTGGTCGTCGTATGCACCTATGGGTTCTCATATTTTGGGGACTCTCTTGACAATTAACACTGATCACACGAGAAACTAAGCTGTGCTGTAGGAGAACTATTCTGCAGGTTTTGCTGCACACGTACTGTACTGTCGACGAGTCGACTAATAAACATTATCTAGTAGAAAATAATATCCTCTATAGTAACTTTATTCTATATATCTTCTGATAGTGATTGACATCTAGCCAGATGTAACGCAAAGAATTATCTGCAACAACGACAACAACGATAGCGGGTCACCCAACTATAATTAGCATCTATCAGCACAATAAGAGCGGTCACCAACGATAAACAGCATCTGCCCACAAACTGAGGCTGTCAAGAATAAAGGATACGTTGGTATAAACAATATCATATATTTTCAATAACAGATGGAACGCAATATTGTTTATGCATTTGCCACCATAATTGTGATATACGAGGACGACGCAAGGGTCAACAACAGTGCCCATCTGCCCGCCCCTGAGGCAGTATAAAAGGACCGCGGTCTGCTGGTGAGGCCCACATGTCGGAGTTCCTCCCACTCGCCATCTCAGTTCCCGCCACATACCGTCTTCGTTCACCTCTTGTCATAGAATTGTGCTACCGTACTTTATTGTAGGAAAACCTCTCAGAGAGGCACTAATCTTCCCTAGTATACATACTTATCATGACATAGTATCTGTAAGAGTTAAGCAACATTCTGTAGTTTTGTTGTATGTTAACATCTCATTGGCTTAAGCATTGTCTTTTTCTTCACATTCCTCACTACTAGTACGGTAGCAAATTACGGTATGCTATTCGCGCCAACAACCATCTGGTCTCATTGGTACCCGCGCTACCATATGCTCTTCACCTCTATAGGTCAGATTGTACTTTTATATGAAAGCTCTTTCTCATATTAACACAATAGCCAATACAATTACTCTCCTACCTTAAGGTATCTTTTTATTTATTGTCTTATTTGGTAATCCTGTTATGAACGCGCCACTTATGGTGTTTTAGTATCTTCTTTTCGTTATTGTTATAATATTGGTATAAACGGTTTAATTACCCAAGTTTGAGATTTACGCTGTGAAGACAACAACCACAAGACCCGCGTGGCGAAGAACGAGTAAATACAATTCGTCCAAGCTAGCAGATCAACACCGGGTGGGGCTACATTCAAAGGAGCAAGTCAACCGCCAAACTCTCCTGTGGAACCCAAGTCGTTGGTTCATTGGGCAATCATAGCCTACAGAACAATTGTAGTACCATAGAACTATGATACCTATTTCTTGACTCTCAATTCACAGCGTCTCAGACGTCAAAGGGTAAATACCTATATTGCAGAACCATCAAATAATAAGGATCACAAAACAGATCCACTTGCGAGAGTCAAGCAGAGACAACAACTAGTCGATAGTCCGTACACTATCTAATATTTACTACAACCTAATATTCTCACCACTGAACTACTACTACTAAGTAGTGAGCGGCTCAACGGTCACTACCACTCAAGTGCATCCATCGCAGCCGCCACTATACTATACGTACATTGGAACACCCAACGACAAGAACTAAAGATAGAAAACATTGCAAAGACTTAGAAACCGACCTCAACAGCATTTGCTAGGAATTCATTGAATTCTTGTTCTGTAAGGCGATCTGCATAAAGAATGAATTCATTTGGGATTCGCCCTATTACTGTTCTTCCTTTACAATGTGATACCTTAAGCAAAAAAAATCATACACTAGCAGGAAACAATTACCCTCGTAAACTTCACGAATTGTACTTTCATGTGAGAGATCTCGTTCCCAGGTCACCAGTACAGGTGGACTGCCAGTGCGCTGTGAACTGAGTACTGAACGTCGATCAAAGAGTGCCGTGAAAACGTGTTGAACTCAGTTCGAATCCAGAGAATAGATCATCTGATTGTGATGGGCCGATTTGATTTATATCTTTCGTATACAAGTAATCCTTAAGTGCGTTAATGATCTTGTATGCTTGCGTAGCACATACGATGTGCTCATTCCACCAGCATTTGTACTTATGTCACCAGAGGGGGGGGGGGGGGGGGGNGGGGGGGGGGGGGGGGGGGGGTTGAAGACACCTCTTACAAATGCATTCTCAATTTCCATTTGAGAGGACTCGTAAGTGTATCCAGCCTTCGCAGCACCCAGGTTATCAAGAGGTGTTCCCTTCTTTTGAAACGGAGTACTTAGTGGATACCTTCTTGGACTATTAAGCTAAATTCCTTCTTTCCTCTCTCTTTCTTCTTTCATTTTTAGCTTAACAATCCAAGAAGGTATTCATTATTACTACCAAGGTTAAATGACGGTCTGTTTAAAAAATAAAGGGCTTAATAAAAAAGGAGCGACACCTTATCAAACATATCTTTAGCAAGCAGAGCCAAATGTGGCATCGCTGGCATATGTCTGACAAAACGATATAACATACATTTTCTTCCTCCTGTTTATACGAGCTGACATCACATCAGGTGCGGATCCTAGGAGACCTTGCAACCGATTCACTTCATCGTATCCATGTTCCATGAAGGTCTTTGGATTTAAGAGTGGATTAAGTGGCTGTTGAAGGATTTTCGTCTTCTTTATGAACGTTCCTCAATCCTAGCATAGCCTATTCTCACTGGCATCCTGGTATAGCCATGCTGGGACGCACCCAGATTTCCATTCCAGATCGCCAGCTTTCTTGCGGATTAGAAAAAGCGAGCTGATCCCATACAACTAGTTCGTTCCCTCCGATCCGATACCTCTGACAAATTTCCCGACACCGACGTAATGGGTGCTTAGTGGGCCTGAAGCTGGCCTGGTCGACTCAGTAGCGTGCGAGTACTGAACTGCATCACAATCACTACGACTTCCCATAATATATATATATATATATATATATGTATATATAAAGTAGAAATGCAACAACTAACTATAAATTCCCAATCCTCGGACCGCAGCATATTGTTGCATACTGAAACTGCTGAACTATAAGATGAAAAAGTTAAGAAAAATTTAAGGCAAAAACCTATATAGATCTATATGAGAGAGGAAGTATAACTAGAAAGGAATAGCTTTCTATGAATGAAAACAAAAGCGAAAGGATATTTACCGTCATCTGCAGTTACGGTAACAGCAATAGATCCGATCAATAAAAGATGCCAAATCATTCGAACACTATAAACTAAATGAACCACACTCAAAAGAGGTTAGATGTTTACCCAGTGTTGAAGCTGATTAACACTGAGATTCGAACAAGGAAACAAGTAACATTCTCCATATGTTGATCGCCTGCAGCGCAGTGGTCAGAGGCGCCTGCAATACAAATAGGATCGATCCCCGGGTCCCTGGACCACCAAGCCTTCCATCCCTCTGGCGTCGGCAAATTGGTACCAGATTTGTCTGGGAGGATAGCAGCGGTGGCTCGATACATCAGTAGGCGACCACAATTCATTGTAAAGGTCAGATATGAATTCAATCTCCTCCGACGATGCTTAATAAAGTCGAATGCATGGCGCATCTCTTAGGGATTGATCAATGCCGCGAGTTTTATCCTTCTATTCTTTATGTTGGAAAC